GGTAACATGCGTAACACATGCCCCAACCGACGTAATCTACGGAGGTCGACCACTTGCTCCAGCGGGCGACCACGGTTACCCAAAACTTTGCGCCTGACCTCAGCACTGCTCTTCCGGCTGACCCATCAGATTCGTGCAAGGCTGCGTAGACAGCAGGGTTCAAACACCAACAGTTTACCCTAATCCTGTTTCCTTAATAGCCACATTTCTGATGCGGACAGCCCATCTGGTCCGGAGGCCTGATACCTTTTGAGATCACTTATTTACCGAGAAACCTCCATTTCAGATGGAAGACTGGTATGAACTGGGAGTATTTACCCAGTCGAGGTGGGGATAATATTTCAGATGACGAGGACTAGTTGAGCTGAACCTCGAAATATTCAACCGATCGACCAAAACGGTGTGGCTGATGGTGAATCAGAGTACCATCGAATCCCTAATTACCACACGCCTATTTTCCTGGAGCCCGTATTCCCAATTAGGCGGGAAAGATTGCGACTGTTACAGATAGCCGCGGCTTTCTCTGTCTCTTTACACTTTCCTACCCACCACACACCAGGTTTGTGGTGTAGTGGTTTAGCATCATGACAGTTATAAAGATAAAGAAAATGAAACACAAGAGAACAACGTTTTTCCGTGTATGAGTTGATTGTAAATATATCTATATATTGTAAGAGAGTAGTGAAGCGGTTCAATCAGCTACCCATAGTTCAAATGGTCAAACTGCTTACATTCTTTCTGTGAAGTGCCAATATCCGTCATTTCTTAAATAAAGTAATTTGAATTTCTAATATTAGTGAATGAGGATGAATTAGTCACGCTTTACCTTCTATTTTTTAGTAGAAAGTCAATAACTTTACCAGCCAAAAACGTGTTGGTTTGCGTTTCAATGGCGCACATTAAGAAAACGTCACAGTGGACACCACAAGGGGGGTAACGTAATAACACGTACAGCGCATGAATCAAACTGAAAGTTATGCAAAAATGATTAGATAACAAAGATATGATGAGCAAACTCAAGTAAATTGTAGTAGTTAAAGTACAAACCGATCATGAATTACGAATCACATATCAGAAGTCACGGACGCCATGTAAATACTGAATCCCGCTTGCACTTACACAACAGTGTCCCAAGCAACTAAGACACAAGGAAAGGCCTCGGAAATAGCAGCTCATTTATTGGAAGAAATCATGGGGTTTAAATAATATGTAATAAAAGTGGTTCATTGGTTGTCCAGATATCCACCAATCGTGGGTTCCCATTCTTGGCGTAGTACAGCTTCTGTCTGGACCGCACAACTTCTGATTAGTCGGTACACTCGGCCCATGTTCCGTAGTCTAGAAGCTGTAACGCTTAGGCGCTTATCTGGAAATTGTAACGTGTTGTTCTATGGTTTGCGTCATTCCATAATATAAGATCACCACATGAGTACTATGTGATTCATGGGACTGTTTTATTGTTGTTATTTTGTCAGTGAGAATGTAATTTGATTGCGGAATACCCCACACCAACATCTATGTTACTGAAGCAGGAAAGATGATCGTAATTTTAATCATATCTTAGTCATTAAAAAATATAAATACAACTCTAATTTAGTTTTGCTTTATGCAGTTATTATAGCGAATTTGAAGATGTTTTATTGTTAAGAACTGAAATTGGTCATAAGTAGAATAAGCCGATGGAGGACAGTTCTAAGTTCAGTAGGTTCGTAACTAGTGGACCGTCTACGGATAGCACAGTTGAGTGCTATCTGAGCACGTCTCCAGGTCGTGTATACGAGGACGGTCATCTTGGTGGTTAACCATGAACGGGTGAGGGGCACTCTACTGACTAATCGGTAGCGGAATACAGTGACGATGCTAAAGTATGTGGTGGAGTTTTCGGCTGACAACCGATATGTAATCATTGTAGTAGTAGAAATAATACGCACGGAATTCGGAACACGAACCACGCAATATGAATTACAGGACCCAAGTCGATAACCAGCTATCACGGACTGGATCGCAGAAGCACTGGACCACAATGGCACGGATTCGCTATGTTCCACGAGAACGAGACGTGAGGAAAAGGCCACAGGACATGCAGTAGGTAGTTCTTTTATTGGAAGAAATAAAGGTGATTAAATAATATGTACAGAGGGAAATTATTGGCTACCTGGGCTTCCATCAATTGGGTTGCAGTACTGCTTGCATAATCTTTATTCTGTTTGCATTGTCTTGGATTGGCTGGCACCATCCGCCAATGACATGT